TTAATAAATTGTTTAAAAACAGTCTAAAGTAAAATATTACAAAATGAATTTCGCAATTCTGACCTCGAATTCGTAATCAGCGACCCCGAAAACCCCCGTATACCAAATTTGACGCGAATCTGTTATTTTTTTAAAATTTGTGATCTCTGACCTTAATTGACCCGTTTTTTGAGGTTAGAAAAAGAACCCTCAGTTCTGAAAGCGGATTCACGTTCGGCGGGGTTTTAACCATATAAATGAACATTTGAATATAGGAAAAAAATTTTTTTGTATTTTCCCCAGCATTATGAATTTTGCTATTTTCGACTTGTTTTTTGAGGTTAGGAAATTCCCGTGATGTGATAGCTCAATTCTGACACCGGATTCGCGATCAGGAGGCAAAAATACTACGGATAACACGTCGCACGAAAAGTAAAGATAACTTTTTTTTGTGTGGCTGAGTAATTAACTGAAGCATCAATAAAAATTGATATGTCTAAATATTATTAATACCGGAACATATAACATAAACATTTTGAAATTATTAAATAATGTAATCTTTCAAAGAAATATCTTGTATTCTCGCTGTTCTATCAACACCCTTGACGAAGACCAACACGTGGAAATAGCCACGATATAAAGGTCTTACTATTTCTACATTTTACTTAAAATAGCGTCGTTAATTTTAAGGGAAGAGGGAAAAATGAGTAGAATACAAATACGTGATTAAAAAAAATTTAAAATCATTATTTAAACCCCTTTTGGGACTGCTCCTGACTACTGACTCGCAAAGGTTTATCGAGTGTGACTGTGTTTGGTCATTAACCTAGTTTTTACCCTGTTTTTAATATGTAGTGAACGACGAGGATTAAACATGAATGAATCAATTACATGAATTTTTACATTTTAAGTATTAACAAGCATTATTTATTTGCTAATAATATCACAATTTAGTATTTTTAATATTATTAACGTTTTCACTATGTTTTATAACTGAATATGAATTTTTAGTATTATGTCTAATTAATTATTCAGTTTATAGTACGTATATGTAGCGACTTATTACCTATTTTCTCTATAAATCATGTCATTATGGAAATTTTCAACAGCAAAACATGGAATATAAGCAAATATCAAACTATCGTCATTTTTTGATAATCTACCTGCACTTGAAGTTTGAACGAAAAAATTAAACCCGACATTTTGTAGCTCTATGATAAGTTTCCAAACATACAAAGGTATAAATGGAAATAAATTAAGCAGGCTCACTTTAAACTGCCGAGGTTCCTGGGATGGGTTTTTATACAGCAAACGAGGACGGCCAAAGCGGTCTCGAACAATTTCACGCCGACCGTCCGGGAATTCTCCCCTTTCCATGCCTTCTGGATGTCCAGCCACAAACGGAAATACTTACATGTATTGAGGGGATCATCTGAAAACCCAGTTACCCGTTAAATTAAACGACTTCCGGGAAAAGACCCACGCCTACCATTTTCCAGGAAGTACTTGAAAAACGCCAAATAGAGTTCCTCCATTTCCTCGTGATTTTTATATAAAACTTTATCCCTGAGCTTCAGACACCTCATCAACCAATTCAGCCTGTTAGCGGCATCCTCTTGAGCTGGAAGAGAAGCGTTCGAATGTCGTTCCCTGTAAACGGGGATAATAACCTGTACGTACCCAAATTAAAATGTCTTTGAGCCTTTATTCTGGCAATTCTAAGGCATTCCGTGAAGAACGTTATATGGCAAGAATCGCAAGGAGTCAAGGATTCACTCTCGGGTACTTTCGGTAACGCCCCTTGGCACTTGGTGCACTTAAAACTATCCAAGTCGCCCTGAAAATATGAAATAACACTCCGATCCTTCTTGTAGCAATTATACTATAGCGGAAAATGGTCAAATCCGGATAAAATTTTGCTTACCATTTTTGAGAAGAAGAAAATTCAACATTCTAACATGAACGTTCGAACCGACACTGGAATCGGCGCTATTTACAAAACTGTACACTTTATGTGACATTCCGAACATGATCTTATGATGATGACCTTGACCATAACCTAGAGGTCAAGCTTGAAAGTTCTTTGAAGGTCAAACCAAGTTATGAAATACGAAAACCATGTTGTGGCCAAATGTCCAGGTTAGAACTTTGAACTTTTTTTTTTTCAAAGGAATTTTGCTTTTTTTGGTTGCTTTGAAAGGATTTTCTATTTGTTAAATATCAGTGAGAGGACTTTTAGTTTCGCACGGCAGTTTGTTAAGAAAAATTAAAATTAATACATCTTCTACTCACGATTTCTTTCAAAGGATCCTCGCAAATTTCACATTTACAAACAAAACGGTACGTCTCCAGACAAGCAATCTGTCGCTGATTCCTGTCGAGCGCTCTGTAGTCGATACCGTAACAATTAAGTATTTCTCCGCCCTCGGGGATGTCCTCCAGGGCCTTGACGACAATCCTATCGCGGATGAAACTAAAAACGACAACATAACTGTAAAATATCCATAAACTTCATCGCGCAGCTTTTGCATTCAAATAGCATTCTCAATGTTACTACATTGATTGAGATTTAGGTGGTAGAGCTTAGTTGCAGAGTGAAACGTCGTTTATGAATAAAAGAAATCAACTGTTACCGCTGCCATACTGGGTATATTATGATATCGCTTTGATGTGTGTCTGATAAAATTATAGTGAAATTAAATTATAAGATTTAAGGACATTTAATAAATTGAAAAAATTGCAATCCTGAAACACAAAAAAAAATATTTTTGTTCTAAAACGATGAAATTTGTTGTTAAATAAACTTTAATAAAGTAAAAAAAAAAATTGTTTTTGCTTGTTTAACCAATATATTTTCAAACTATGATCTTGATGATGAAAAAAGTATAATCAACGAAAAAAAAAATGTTTTGTTACCATATTTCTTGATGAAATTATGTAGCAGAAGTTTATCTGACAATGTAATTCATTCTCGTGATTTGAGTATTATATTTTTGAATATTAGAAAGAGATAGAGAGAACATCTGCTCCAAGTGCAGGCTTGGCTTGACAAAAAATTGCAAGCAGAAAACTGAGGTTGGAAACGAGAGGATTCGGGTATGACTCCAACTTTTATGACTCAAGATCCAGCACCAACTGAACTTCTCAAAATGATTTTTTGCAGATGCAAAAGTGGCTGTGCTAATAATTGCCATTGCTGGAAGGTGGGTCTGCTTTGCACCATAGCACACTCTAATTGTTCCGGAACTGATTGTCTCAATTGCCAAGCATTTCTCGAAGAAGAACGAGAATCAGACCAATTGCCAGAACTTACAATAATTCAAGAGAATTAAAATTGAATATTGTTATTTTTTATATTTCTGTTTTTAATATGCAAATACTTTTTCATATTTAATAAATTTGTTAATTAAGAATCCCATATACTGACTTTTTACAGAACCCTAAACATCATACACAAATTTCTTTAAAATTTAACGAGTTGATTTGAAAAATCCTAAACATATCAATATGAGTAAAATTGAAAATGTAATTTTTAAATAAATTTTTTAAACAAGTCGGCCATATTGGATCAGCCATTTTGAATTTTTATTTTCCGATATAATATTCTTGTTCAGTGACTTCGAAAGCCGCTGTAATATCAATTTGATTAAAATTGCTTTGAAAATTCTTTTTTTAATAAACTGTTTAAAAAAAGTCGGCCACATTGGATCAGAAATTTTGAATTTTTATTTTTTAACATTATATTCTACTTCAGTGACCTTAAAAACCAATATAAAATCAATTTAATTAAAATTGCTTAGAAAATTGTCATTTTTTAATAAATTGTTTAAAGAAAGTCGGCCATATCGGATCAGCCATTTTGAATTTTTAATTTCTGATATAATATTCTTGTTCAGCGACTTCGAAAGCCCCTATAATATCAATTTGATTAAAATTGCTTTCAAAATTGTAATTTTTTAATAAATTGTTTAAAAAAAGTCGGCCATATCGGATCAGCTATTTTGATATTTTAATTTCTGATATAATATTCCTGTTCAGAGACCTCAAAAACCCCTACAATGTCAATTTAACTAAATTTACTTTGAAATTTGTAATTTTTAAATAAATTTTTTAAACAAATCGGCCATATTGGATCAGCCATTTTGAATTTTTATTTTTTAACATTATATTTTTATTCAGTGACGTCGAAAACCCCTATAGTATCAATTTGATTAAAATTTGTTTGAAATTTTTTTATTTATTTTAAGAACGGAAATTGAAGTCCCGTTTCATCTAACAAAGTACTACAATATTCATATAGATGTCGCTACAGGAAATACGTTTACAGTAAAAATAGTACGATTATTTCATTCATTCAAATTCCGGCAAAACACACCTAAAAAAAAAAGAGAAAATGCCAGGTGCACGCACACGTGCACGATAATGAGTTGTCCGGCCTATACGTCCATCCCACTCTCTTGCTATCTCA